TATCAAGTGTGAAACAGATCGCCAGCCCAGGTTGGATGCATGAGACAAGTGCTCAGGGCTGGTGCACTGGGACGACCCAGAGGGATGGGATGGGGAGGGAAGTGGGAAGGGGTTCAGGATGGGGAACACATGTAAATCCATGGCTGATTCATGTCAATGTATGGCAAAAACCACTACAATACTGTAAAGTAATTAGCCTCCAACTAATAAAAATAAATGGAAAAAAAATTAATAGGATTGAGCAAAAAAAAATAAAATAAAAGAGAACAGGGACAAAGGGAGCCGCAAAGGGATGGAAGAAGTGTGACCCGGAGGGCAGACGGGGGTCAGGGATGGGGGTCAGGGATGGTGAAGGAAGGAGGCAAAACAACCTAGAGAGTCAGCATAATCAGAAAGGCTGTCGGGAAGAGTAGTGAGAGAGGAAACAAGCTCCCTGTCATCAGTTGGCGGTGGACAGGGAGGCCTGCTGTGCTGCAGTCCATGGGGTCACAAATAGTCGGACAGGACTGAGCAACTGAACTCAAGTGAGGTAACTCCCAAAAGAACTTCTTATTCAAACCCCCCACTCCCCCAGTTACCCCTCTGTCATATCATCCTGCTTACTTCCTTGTTTGACTTTCTGTTTCTACACTTGCTCATGGCTGCTTCTATCTCTACTTTTAGGACATTTCCAGGCTTCTCTCCTCTGCCCTGTTCCCACAAAGCCCTGATCTTTTTTATACTAAGTGTCGCTGAGAGGGGAACTGGTAGGATTAAAGTGCTGCATTCTTTCTTCACGGGGTAAATGTATATAGTTTACTTCATGAATACTTAAAATTCAGAATAAAGAAGCTTTTATTGTGAAATGAATTCCAGTTTGGTTGGGTACACATTTGGGGGAAAGTATGTCTTTTAGTTCCCCAGTATTATGTCATGTTAAACACCTATTCTGCCTTGCAAGCTGTCCTCCTGTGTTGGTCACAGAGACCAGAGAGCTCCTATTTAAAAGAAAATGGTGGGACTTTCCTGGTGATACAGTGGATAAAAATCCGCCTGCCAATGCAGGGGACATGGGTTCAATCCTTGGTCTGGGAGGGAGGATGCCACAGAGGAACTAAGACCGCATTCCACAGCTACTGAAGCCCCTGCGCCTATAGCCTGTGCCCTGAAACAAGAGAAGCTGCCACAGTGAGAAGCCCATGCACCACAACCAGAGTAGCCCCTGCAGGCCGCAACTAGAGAAAGCCCACGCACAGCGACAGAGACCAAGCGCAACCAAAAGTAAATAAATAGAATGAATTATAAATGAAAGAAAATGGCATTTCAGAGAACAGCAACCATGGCTATTCAACATGCCTGAAAAATCAAAGTGTTCTTGAAGGTTGCTGTTTTGTTTCTACATAATAAATCATGTGAAATAAACTTTGTAATGTCTTTATACCAGTCACTTTGGTTCACAGGAAAGAATGTATGAGAGTTTTTAAAAATATTTCTATTTACTAACTGATAAGTTCATAAAAGGAAATCATATTACTTATTTTGTGAAACAGCACAGCTGCAGAAGCCAGGGTAGCGTGGCCACAGAGAGGAACCTCATTCTGTGGTGTAAACCACCTTAATCCAAAGCAGGAACCTTCAGAGGAGAAAAACCAAAGAGAGATGAGATCATTTCCATACAACGGGGTTCAAAGTTTTCATTTTCTTATTCTTTTCTAAACATTGTATTAGCATAATTAATCACTGAAACGTGTTGTGAAAAGGAGGAGCAAAGTCTAGGCAAGACCTCTAGGGCTCTGCAATGCTAGATCTGGATCTGAAAGATTCCAATTCATCAGAATCTGCTCCCTTAGATGAACTGAACATCAAATTAGAAGCTCCCCTACCTTCCTTATCTGCATGCAAATAATAAATGGACATTTTCCTTAAATGTCATTCCCCCACTGGAAAAACAGTTTCTGGTACCATTCAGGAATTTTTTTTAAAAGAAAAGAAAAAAGTGTATTTACTTTGAGTAAAGTTGTCATTTGGGTGTAGCTTTCGGATAAAAGCCGTTTTGGAGAGGTTCATTTCCTTTGCGATTTTTTGATGCAAGTCTTCATCCAGTTTCTAAATTAGAAACAAAAGGTTAGTGAGATTCCAGAAACACAAATCAGACTTCCTTGAATAGCAACTACCACTAGTAAAAAAAAAAAAAGAAAAAAGACAGTTTATTAATATTAAAAGTCATATGCTTAAAAAAATTTTAATGTAAAAAAGAATTTAAAAAGTTATGTATGCTTATAGTAAATAATCACCAAGAAATTTAAGGCACTTTTATAAAGATTGTTTTTTAGAAATCCATGCACTTAGCACCATGTGAAGAGCTGTGGAAGCTATAGCAGATTCTGAAAAACCTACCGGCCTGGGCTATCCTTTGTCAGATTATTATCTAGTTTTATCAGAGAGCACGTGCTCTCTCCTAAAAACAATTGCTACAAACAGAAACTCCACAATCTGTCATTCCTGTTGGATGAAGAGATGTTAGGTTCCCACTCTGAGCAGACTGGACCACTCTGACCTCATTTATGCATGTTACACTCCCTTTAATGAGTCAGGCTCAAGTCAGAGGTCACCTCCTCCAGGAAGCCTTCCAGACTGCTCTATCTCCTTCCCAGTACTTATAACACCTGAAATTACCTACTATGCCCCTTTACTGGCTGTACCCCCAACCTCTGACTCAGAGCTCTATGAGAGCACCACTGTGCTACTTTGCTTTGTCCTGGTTTAGAGCAATGCTTGTATTCATCCTGGTATGGTAGGAGCTCAATAAATATTTGCTGAGAGAATTCAGTATTCATTTAATTTTCATTTTTAAAACACTCAACATAGATATTTCTATCCACTTACAGATAAAGAAATTAAACACAAAAAGTTTATGTAATATCTTAACATATATACATGCATATACACATACACACATTCCTCTTAACTCAAGGAAAAAAATGGGTCAAAGAATAGATTTTCTTTTTGAGAATGAAAATCAATTTTTTAATCAACAAAATGCTCACTACTTAGATTCTGAATTCTAAAGAAATCTCAAGATGTTAACTATATTCCAATAAAAATTAATTATAAAAAGAGAAATCTCAAGACAAGATAAATGCATTTTTGCTTTAGCCAAACTTGTTACTCTTGAGTTTCTGAAACCCAGAAGTAGGAATTGAAACTTTATTCTAATAAGTTCAAAATTCACTTATCTCAGTTATGTCAAGCTAAACATCCTTGCCTTTTAGTTGATTAGAACTTTTTCTGTGTACTCATATAACATTACAAAGATGTTTACCTATTAAAGTTTATGTATTGAGAAAAGGCATATAAGACACAAAACAGCAGTTACAAAAAAATTAACTTCTTAACTATCAGCTAATGTAAAAATCCTCACAGGTGACTTACTAAGCTTTCCTTAAAGGAGCACTGTATTCAAAATCTGTAGAAACTCCGTAGCCCTACAGAAAGAGAAATCACTTAAGAAATTGATACTTATTTTCTGAAAACCCAAAACAGACACAATGAGTTTTTGTGTTTTTTTAATTACTGTTTTTTTTTTCAAAAGATTTAATCCAATAATGCGTTTTATAAAGCACTCATTAGAGTGTCCAACACATACATAGTTAAGTACTTGAAAAATGTTACCTTTTTACTTTGAGTGACTCAAAGTCAGTGCTTTAATTTGACATACTGCACTACCTCCCCATAACAAAGAAACTATTATTGTCCCTTCAACATGCTACAGGCAGAAAAACCAATTTCTATCAGATAAAATGGACTCCTGCAACATTTCTGAGGAAAAGGAGCCATCAATCAATTACCCAAGCCGTGCTGAGCCAGCAGCATCAGCACCACTTTCAAGGGAATTTGTCAGAAATGCAGAGTCTCAAGCCCCACCCCAGACCTTCTGAATCAGAATCTCCATCTTAATCAGAAACCAGATGATCTGTGTGCACATTAACGACTGGGGAGCCCTGATGTATAAGAGCTGGTCCTGTGTTCAAGAGCCTTAGCCTGTCAGCTGAGGAGTCAAGACAGATACAGAAAGCAGCAGTAGGCCACACCAAAGAGTATGTAATTGAGATACATGGATTTTAACGTTAAGTTCTCTAGGATTTGAAAGGTGAGGACTTGAGGTGGACCTAGCAAAAGGTCAGATCTGGGTGAGCTGGACAGGAAAAACTGGGCAAAAGGTTTGAATTAGAGATGCTCCTTGGGCAAGTCACTTGACTTGACTTTGCTCTCCTTCCATGATATCTTTGACTCTCTAGGATTCTGCAAGTTGAGGTAAGGGAATCAGGATGGCAGGAATGAAGTGGAATGAGCACATGTCACACGTGTGGAGGCCCATGGGGCTAGGGAGTGAGAAGTCCCACCTGAGCAGAGGAGGCTGAGTGCTGCTGGGGCCAACAAGACAGCAACGTTCAGAAGGGAGCTCAAGTTGCTTTTCCATGGTTTGTAGAATGTTCTCTGTGGAAACTGGCCTACCTGCCCATGCACATAACACCTTAATGAAACTGGAAGCCATTTAATTTCCTAGGGCTGAGTCTGCAATCATCAGCTTCAAAGGTGACTGAAGGGCTGATGAAGAAAAACATGGATTTGCCTCCTTGGCTGCATGAACCTGAGTGCCTGCCAGTCCTTCCTCTATCTGACTTGGCCAAACTTCCTGTCCTTGTCCTTTCTTTCTTTGCCTATTGCTTCCCTTGACCTTTAGGACCAGAGTCTCTAAAAGTATTGAAGAGTTTCACATTTTAGCCAAGATCACCATCTTTTGGTAGCAGATTCCTTTGCAAATGGGCTTTTTTGTACATCAGTTAAAACACACACTTCACTGACCATCAGTTCTTTAATCCTTTCTGGTTTGGTATATTTCACCAGTTACAATTTGAATTTCTGTTCCAGGACACTGAAAACACATCTCCTATTTGCCTGAGGTGCCAGAGACAATAAAAAGTTTGATAGTCGCAGCCCTCAGTATGCACCATGGGTGGCTGAATCTCTACACTGGAACCAAAGAGCAAAATAATGGTGAATCATGAGATTAACGTTGCTTCAACTTGGAGAACTTTAGGGAAAAAAGAGTGAGACTACATTCATTAACAATACTGAAGTTTGGTTCCAATAATGTTTCCATTTTACACTACAAGCTTATTTTCAAATGTAACACACAATAGTTACAAACCGAACCAATTAATTCTCTTGCTTTAATATCCATTTCTCTTTGCCAATCTCACAGGAGTCAAGTTTCCAGCAGTAAAAAGAGAACCATGTTTGTTTTTCTGAGTTGCAATATACTGTGTTGGGACACTGATGTTCTATCAACCATATGGCTCGCAAAAGATTAATAATCAGAAAATCAGAGTAAAGTTTAAAAATACTCCCACCTTGTGGCAGTTTAGAAATATGACAGCCTAAACAGGACAGTCTTGCTCTCCGTCTGTTCATCTGTCCCTCTGCTTTCTTTCTAGCAAAGGAAAAGCACTTGGATGTAGAAAGTTCTAAATCATTCAGGAAGAAACAGGAGATTCCTTCTGAGACACTGGGCTTCCGATTGCAAAGTTATGTCCACAAAATGCAGCACTCAAGCTGCAAGTCATCTTCAGTTGTTCCTAAATACTTTGGCCACCTGATGTGAAGAGCTGACTTGTTGGAAAATACCCTGACGCTGGGAAAGACTGAGGGCAGGAGGGAAAGGAGATGACAGAGGATGAGATGGTTAGATAGCATCATTGACTCAATGGACATGAGTTTGAGCAAACTCCGGGAGAGAGTGAAGGACAGAGAAGTCTGGCATGCTGCAGTTCATGGGGACGCAGAGTCAGACGTGACTAAGCGACTGAACAACAATGGATCTTATATGCCTTGTCTCTCCAGCTCCATCATAGAACCTAAAGCACATGCTTGCATTGCATGCCCTGCCCATCCCACCCCATCAATGAAAACAAAAGATCCAGAATCGTTGGCCAAGACTTCCCCAGTAGCACAGTGGATAAGAATTCACCTGCCAATGCAGGGAACACAGGTTCGATCTCTGGTCCAGGAGGATTCTACACGCCATGGAGCAAGTAAGCCACAAGCACCGAGGCCCCTGCACCGACAGCCGGTGTTCTGCAACAAGAGAAGCCACCTCAATGAGAAGTCCGGGCACTGCAACTAGAGAACAGCCAGCCCCAGCTCGCTACAGCTAGAGAAAGTCTGCTTACAGCAATGAAGACACAGTACAGCCAAAAATAAACTGAAAAACAAATTAAAAATTAGGGTTGGCTTCTTCTGCTAGAACTCCTAGAAGAAGATTTTTGCATAATACAATTTATTATACTATTTCCACTTTCACTCAACAGATATTTTAGTGTCTCCCATGTGCCAGGCCCTGGATGTTGAAACAAGTCAGAATAGATTAAGATTTCATAGAATGTACAGAAGTGAGGAAGACAGGCATGAGTGAATTATAAGACTGATGCATGTTACCAACTGGGAAGGGGCACTGTGGGAGAATATCTAGTCCAGTAGTGAGTGTGTCTGTATGCTCAGTCGTGTCTCTCTGTGACCCCATGGACTGTAGCCTACCAGGTTCTTCTGACCATAGAATTTTCCAGGCAAGAATACTGGAGTGGGTTGCCATTTCCTCCTCCAGAAGATATTCCTGACCCAGGGATTGAACCCGCATCTCTTGCGTCTTCTGCGTTGGCAGGCACATTCTTTACCACTGTGCCACCTGGGAAGCACCAGTAGTGAATACAGTGGGTTAAAAGCATGGACCCTGCAGTCAGGCAGACCTGGGGTGGGATTCTGAAGTCAGCCACTTAGATAAATTGTTCAACCTTCCTCTGCCTCTGTCTTCTCATCTGCAAAATGGGGATTAATAATAAAACCTATTCATAAAGTGGTTGTGAGGGTGAAATGAAATAATATATGAAAACCAATTAGCACAGTATGTGTCTGGCTGAACTTGCCTGAAATTACTGACCCCAGCTGAGAATTTTGTTCTAGAAGCCAGTGAGGGTACTTGGGAAGCAGAGATTACCACACTAGTATTTCCTCTTCCTTTGCACTGCTCTCTTCCTTCAAATACTTGGCAAAGAAAAAATGCTTCAGTGTCCTGGAAGAATCTTCTCTGCCCTCTGCATCCTTCTTCTGAGCATAAAACTGAGATACAAAGTTGCAACTCTCTAGAAACCCCAGGAGTCTCTGACCCAGTGTGGTCACACTGAGTCAGTAATCCTCTCTAAGAAAGGATGCCAAGTGTGGAAATGGCCACTGCAAGGTGAGTTAAAGCATGGATTGAACTCAGGATTGCTATACACCTTTTTTTCATTTAAACACATAACCTACCAAGCTACCAACCTACCATAAAAGTGGCTTTTAGTTGTCCCTAACTTTACCCAGGAAAACCAGAAAAGCAAGTAGTTTAGGAACTAAAACTAAGCATTCCTGCTTAAAAGTGTGAAGCCAATCCTCCTTGCTGTCATTGGAAATGATTATTAGTGTTTAAAAGAATAAAAATGCACATCTATGAGCATCACATTTGATACTAGCAGTGTCCCGCTCACGGTAGACAGCCAGGAAATGACAGTTGAAGTGGAATAAATGTATACACTGGGCCTTGAAGTTGTTTTTATTGATAATTTAAACAGGAAAACTCCAGAATAAGCCTCTCTTTAGAGAAGGTATCTTTTGAAACAATGGTTCTCAACTGGGGGCAATTTTTGATTGTCATGGCTGGGGGAGTAGGGGAAGACTACTGTCATCTACTGGGTCAAAGCCCAGGACCTGCCAAACATTCTACAACAGACAGGACACCTCACACAATAAAGAATTTCCCAGTCCAAAATGTTAATAACACATTTGAGAAGCTCTGCCCTAAAAGCACACACACATATATATACATACACATACACATACATACACACACACACACACACACACACACACACACAAAATCTTAAGGTTTTGTTAGAATATGAGAGAGAATAAATATGGGCTCCTTACTTTTGTTGGTATGTTATTTTCACTAACTAGTAAAGCAGGTTTACAGGAAAATAAACCACCTCTTATCACTACCACAGCCTGATGACCTATTTGAATAGCTGATCAGGAATTCCTATAGCTTTTAACACAGCTATCATTGTAATTTATCTATTTCATTTTTTAAAATATTGTTTCTATACATTTTCTATGTTGAAATGGCAACTCACTCCAGTATTCTTGCCTGTAGAATCCCATGGACAAAGGAGCCTGGCAGGCTACAGTCCATGGGGTCGCAGAAGAGTTGGACACAACTTAGCGACTAAACCACCACATATAGTCATTACTGTAAAATAGACATCTGGGAACAGCCATCAGCTTTTTAAAGTTTTAAATGTTTTTTTCAAATATCTGTTTCATACTAGTTGCATTTAGCCCTTAATCTGGTGTTGCTCTCACCTAACACACAGTGTTCCTCACGTGAAGATGTAAAACACAGGCTTGTCCAGGCCTTCCCCGGTGGCTCAGACAGTAAAGAATCTGCCTTCAATGCAGAAGACTTGGGTTTGATCCCTGGATTCGAAGATACCCTGGAGAAGGGAATGACTACCCACTTCAGTATTCTTGCCTGGAGAATATCACGGACAGAGGAGCCTGGAGGGCTATAGTTCACGGGGTTGCAAAGAGTCGGACATGACTGAGCCACTAACACTTTCACTTCACTTTCACAGTGTTCCTCAAGTGAAGATTTGAAAAATAGACTTGTCTAGAAGGGCCATGACAGAACACTTGAGAATACTGTAGAAGTTCTGGGAATGTTGTTACCCAGAAAGTTTTCCTTTTCTTCCAGCAGTCTCTTATCAAGTATCTTAAAAGTTCAAAGCACAATTATCTAGTCTTTAGTCTGTCTACTGAGTTTTTCTATAGTATCATCTCAGTCAATTTTAAATAATTTTAAACAAAACAAAATGAAAAAGAATATTCCTTTGAAACCCTGAACTTGCAATCTGAAGTATTTTCTCACCCATAAAAACGCAAGTTGTTCTATGCTCTGGTCCCCAAGGGACCTAGTACCTGGTCTTTCAGCCTCTGTGGTGACTACGGGAAAATGATCAGGTTTATGCATCTATTTCCCCTGCTAGACTCTGAGCACCTTAAGGACAGGCAAACTTATTGGTCTCGGTACCTCCGTCCCTACCCCAGAGCCTGGCCCACGGCAGGTGTCAACAAATATTTGTAGAATACATAATGACAGGCTAAATGCCTACTGAGTTGTGGTCAGCATGATAAGGCTTAGTCCTTATCTGTCTCTGATTTTTCCTGAGTTCACTTGTGTTCTTTCTAGGTGCTTCAAATGCCCACTGTCTCTAGCTGTGGATAAAAAAATCCAAAGGGCAGAACAACAGTTTCTCCTTTCATTTCATTTTAATGTTTATTGATTATGCACTGGAGAAAGTGCTAAGTTAACCTTCAGGAAAGAAAGGAGATCCTCAAGTCTAAAGAATAGAAAACTAGCAAACTAATCTTTAAATACCTATTCAGTTGTCCTGGACTGGCCATCAAACCAGCCTCATCTCACAGGTCTAAGGCACAAAAATGAACTGAGAGACTCTAGAGAGCGTCCCTGTTGGCAGACTTCCTTTTCTTCCTTTCATACTGAACCATATTGCTTTGAACTATGCTAAGTTTTTTGTTTAAATTTGTATTTCCTAGTTTTTCCAAATATATAAATAATATGCAAAATATATTTTAATAGGGAGTGAAAGAGAGAGAGAGAGATCCTAAGTCTGGAGTTTAGTGAATGTACTAGAGGTGAAAAGGAATACATTGAGGAGTAATATTAATTCCTGGTAAAAATTGAGTGCATAAATCACTTAAAAACTTTTTTCAAAACTCTTCTAGAATATTACGTGGGAATATGGGATAAATACACTAAGGCTTTTTTTTTTTAGACTAAGACTTTTGACAAGTAGATTTAGTCAATTCCACAAGCCCTTGATGTGAAGCTAATCTGTGTGCCATATTGCTTCTAAAGAAAGTTCAGGATTTAGAATCCGGCTGTTAGCTATTCTCTCACTATTACCCCCAAGTTCTTATGTTACTTGGTAAAGTCTATTAAAGTTATTACTTTCTGCACTGTGTGGTTGGAAAATGCTAGCCACAGGGTTGCATAATGAATGCATTGTTAAGGTAAGATGGGGACTTTGATCACCATATTGCTGCTTTATTTGAGGGAGAAAATAAAATATATAAGGATTCGATTAACAACATTCATGGGGCTCAGTAAAACCGCAGCTATTCTCCATGTGATTTACACTAGAATCACCTGGGGAGCTTTAAAAACCAGTGCTGCTTGGGTCTCACCCCTCAGAGATTCTGTTGTGATTGGTCCGGCACAGGAATTTTTAAAGCGCCTCTGGTGATTTTAATCTGCAACCAGCTTGACGTTTACTGCCCTTGAAAGCCCCAACTTAATAAGACTTACTCAAGATCATCAACTGCTTACCGCGTAGCTGACATAATTCTCAGATACTCTGCTCTTGTACTAACTGCTCAGAGTGGAAGGATACATTGACCTGTTTCCCAACACCCAGGTAAGAACAGGAAGCAGCTGAGGTCAAGGAATATTTAACTATTCTGTTAATACTTATCTAACCAGAGGGCCTTTTTCCCCCCTCATTGCACCGTGTAGCATGTGGAACTCCCCCAACTAGTGATTGAACCCATGTCCCCTACAGTGAAAGCTGGAGTCTTAATCACTGGACCACCAGGGAAGTCCTCAAAGAGCCATTTTTAAAATGAGATTTTCAGTAAACAGAGTTCTCCCTATGTTAGAGCTTAATTCCTTTCCATCTTTCTACTAAATTACTTAATTCCTTGCAAAATGTCTCATCTTATTGGTCCAGAAAAGAATTTCTAAATGTCTGAACTATAGGTAAGGTTAAAAATATACAGCTAGGATTTTTTATGCTAAATGTAGTATCAGCCATGTTCAGTCACATAAAACTCATCTAATTTCATTGTCTTCCACATTTGGTGCTAACTGAATGAAAATCCAGTGGCTACAATGGATGAGTTTTCTTTCTTTTTTTTTTTTTGTTGGTCCAGGGATAGAATCTGTGCCCCCTGCAGTGGAAGTCTTAACCACTGAACCAGCAGGGAAGTGCCACCTACTCCTGTTTTTGGTATATTTTTTTTAAATTGGCTCTAGTTCTTCTTTACATAAATCTTACTTTTCTAGACATGTGCATCCATCTAGATATAAGCAGTCTTATCATATAATTTGGTTAAATTAACTTGCAGACATGAACATTGTTGATACCATTTGACGGAGAACACAACCCAGGAAGATAAACAAACAAGTGGGTCTGATATTTTCTTTTTTTTTTTTTAAGTAAAACTTGGTTCTACAAGCATCTAGGATTTCAGGCACTGTACTTCAAAGCAAAATACTACTTACATTTTCTAGGAGGCAAACAGCAGCCGGATTCCCACGAAATGCTTTTGCTGTGAATGCATCGGCTATGAAAATAGGGAGTTTCATTTTCTTTGTAAGCTGTTTCTGCAAACTCTCAAAACTGTTGGTAGACTGCTTTCCTTCTTATTGCTGCAAAAAAATCAAAAAGTTAATGTTTTACTTGATGCAAAGAAACAACTAACATTTTCCAAGTACAAAGTCAAGTAATTATTCTAATACACCTGCATTTAAAGATAAGTAATCCTTTGATTTAAGCCTCTAGATTGAATTTGCTTTAAAATACTGGATGAATAGAATATTTTCTTTTCATAGTGTACATATACTTAACATAGTAATATTCTTAGAGTAGCCAAAACCAGCATAAGCTATGTTGTTAATGAAGTATGTGAAACTTCCAAAGAGCATATATGTTGCTGATAGTTTACCAATGAATATTACTGCCCTTTTAAAATGATGCATTTTTTCTAATTATAAAAACTCCATCATAAAAAACTTGGAAAATAAAAAAATGAATCATAACCATGCAAATAAGCAATAACATTTTTTGGACTTAACAGTCTAAGGAACCTCATGTTTTAATTTTGTGTTATTTTATAAAGCTGCAGTTGGAGACTTTTTAGAGCTCATGATATAGATTTGTTAAAATTAAGCTTTTTATTATAAGAATAATACTTTCTCTTTACTGAAAACCTATAAAATACAGAAAAATTGTGTGGGGTGTGTGAAGAATCTTCTGTATCTTCATGCTGTGGAGATAAACTGTTTACATTCTGGGTATTTCCTTTGCTTTTACTAGAAGCATGGATTTTGTCACAGGTAGGGAAGAATTCATCTCTCTCAAAATTATAGAACTTTTTAAAAACTCAGCAAACTATGGGGTGTTTTGCTTAACTATAAAAGAAATTAACCCATCCTAACATGTATTTCTTGTTCTGAAGGAGATGAGGATAAACAATGGCTAGGCAGCTCCCAGGTCTACAGAGTTGTTTTCTTTTTCTTTTCTTTTGGTTTATTATACAAGGGTTTCGCTTAACTTTCTTGCCATATTGCCTACTTTTTCCCTTTGTTTAAGGTATAATTGATATATTACTTTCAGGTTTACAACATGATGATCCAATATTCATATATATTGGGAAATGACCTACCACAAAAAGTCTAGTTAATCTATCACCAAACATAGTTACAAAAAAAGGTTTGTTTTTTTTTTCCGTGCGGTGGAAGTTTGAAGATCTACTCTCTCAGCAACTTTCAAATATTCAATATTTTATTATTAATTATGAAGCCAGAAAGATAAACACCAATACAGTATACTAACACACATATGTGGAATTTAGAAAGATGGTAATGATAACCCTATATGCAAGACAGAAAAAGAGACGCAGATGTATAGAACAGACTTTTGGACTCTATGGGAGAAGGCGAGGGTGGGATGATCTGAGAGAATAACATTGAAACATGTATATTATCAAGTGTGAAACAGATCACCAGTCCAGGTTGGATGCATGAGACAAGTGCTCAGGGCTGGTGCACTGGGATGACCCAGAGGGATGGGATGGGGAACACATGTAAATCCGTGGCTGATTCATGTCAATGTATGGCAAAAACCACTACAATATTGTAAAGTAATTAGCCTCCAACTAATAAAAAAAAAAAGGAAAAAAAAAAAAATTACTTGAAAAGAAAAAAAAAAAGGAAAAGACATAGATAAAATGCTTAGGAAGACAAGGACAGAGCAATAACTCTGCCCAGGAGACAGTCAGAGGGAGCTTCAGAGATGAGCTCCCAGAGCTGTCATCCAGAGATGACATTTGCGTGAGTCCAAACACACACACACAAATATCCAGCGGTTCCATATGGTGGGAACAGGCATTTTGGGTAGTGTGCATAGATTAATCCCAGGGCAAGCAAGCAATTTGATATAGAAATAGATATGCATGAGGAAAGGAGACTGCAGAGATGAGGCTATCAAGATCTGCTGGAGTCAATGTTCATGAAGGAGCAGATATATGTAGACTTATAGCTGATTAGTATGGTTGTACAGTAGAAACCAACACAGGATGGGAAAGCAATTATCCTCTGATTAAACTTAAAAAAAATTTTTTTTAATAGATAACCTTCAAGGACCTACTGTACAGCACAGAGAACACTGCTCAATATTCCATAATACAGGTTTCCCTGGTGGTCCAGTGGTTAGGAATCTGCCTTGCGAAGCAGAGGAGGCCGATTTGATCCCTGGTCTGGGAAGACCCCCACATGCCAAGGTGCAACTAATAAGTCCATGGGCCACAACTATTGAGTCAACACACACTGCCACTACTGAAGCCTGCACACTCTAGAGCCCGTGCTCCACAAGAGAAGCCACCACAATGAGAAGCCATCACACTGCAGCTAGAGAGTAGCCCCCACTCTCCGTAACTAGAGAAAGCCCTTGTACAGCAAGGAAGACCCAGCTCAGCCATAAATAAACTAGTCTAGAATAACCTAAATGGGAAAACAATTTGAAAAAGAAGAAATATATGTATAACTGAATCACTTTGCCATACACTTGAAACTAACACAACATTGTTAATCAACTATGCTCCAATATAAATTTTTTTTAAATGTTAAAAAAAAAAAATCCAAAATTCAGTTCAACAGCTACTATATAGCAGGCCAACCCCAAAGCTAGGTACCAGGGAGAGGAGAGAGTTTCATGAATGAGCCATATGCCTCTACTCTGAGAGTCTAATCTAGAGTTTGTTTTTGAAGATGTCTCTCTTTTTTTCTCTCTCCTTAAAATTAATTTTGGTTTCATTTTTGTAAGAAAAATGCACTTATTTGATGAGAATTGTGTTGGATCCATGGATTACCTTGAGTTGTAAAATCATTTTGAAGATATTCTTTTAATCCAAGAACATGGGTGTATGACTGCTAAGTTGCTTCAGTCTTTGCAATCCCATGGACTGTAGCCCACCAGGCTCTGCTTCTCCAGGCAAGAATACTGGAGTAGATTGCCATGCCCTCCTCCAGGGGATCTTCCCCACTCAGGATCAAACCTGAGTCTGTCATGTCTTCTGCATTGGTAGGCGGGCTCTTTACCACTAGTGCCATGGGGGAAGTCCCAAGAAGATGGGTATATCTTTCCAAAAGAAGAAAAGAAAAAGGCAGGCTTAACTTCCTCCTGAACTGCTGAGAGAAAGTTTAAGGCAGGTAAAGTTTAAGCAACTTGGCTTTCTTTACCCAGTAAATGGGCTTGCACAAATTTTAGCATCCTGGTCAATCTAATGGCTGGTCCTGAGCTGCAGCTTTCAGGCAGAGCTCTGTGCACTACCAGCAGGGTGTTTTTCAAATGACCCAAAGAATTTAATTTATCCTTCTCTAATTTCACTTACAGTCCATTAGGATCCCTAGTACAGCTTTATATGCCCCTTAATAATGGCAAGCAAATAAACTGTTTAAATAGAAATCAATTACTCCCAGAGGGTACCTCATAAATCTAAATTCATATGATTTCTAAACTATTCATATCTCTTAAAACTTTTTAGTTTTTAATCATCAATTTAGTGTATGAATAGAAACTTTTTATAAAACAATAAAATAATACAGAAAAAAATAAAATCCCCTTTGACAATCCCCTGTCTCACTACATTCCCTGCAGTTCCATCGGGTTAGTTTTTGAGGACACGGTAGACATCTTCCTGAATTCTAACCTTGGTTCCATTTATCATGTGAATGTAGGGAAATTATAAACCTCCCTTGTTCAAACAGTTTAGTCATTAAACCTGCCCATGGGTGTGCCTGGGAACGTTGATGCTTATAAACGTTGATGCTCTGTGATAGTCTTAGCTTGTTTATAGTCTCCTGTGCTACAGACAACAGAAAGTTGACTCCTGTATTCTGTAGCTGTTAATATAAAAGAACCCACTTGGCTTTTGCTTGTGACTGCTGCCTCAAAACAATGCTACTCACTAATAAATGCCAACTTAGTTCTTTAAAAATGTAAATACTTAGTAACAGAACGCTGGCATTCAAAGTGTACATGAATACTATGCACCTTACTTGTTGGAAAAAAGAAAATAACTATAGAAAGAAAGTCAAATTATAAAATGTTTTAAATAAAAATTTGGAGGAAATTCTATTTTTAAATTGGTTTCATGGCACTCAACTACTTTGTATTTAGTTTTACTCATGTTTCCTGGACTTAATAGAAGCTCTGAAACACTGCCTTTGTTAAAAAAATTCTTGAGACTAATTCTGATTTCCTCAACTACATTTATGTTCCAACACCTACAGTTTTGGAAACTTTTCTCTTTTCTGATGAAGCTTACAGTTCTTATCATGACCTACCATTTATCAACCAAATTATTGCCCCTCCCCACTTCCTCTTCCTACTGGTAACCACCTCTCATTTGTTTTCTAGATCTGGGAGTCCAATAGCAGTAAACAGCATGTCCTTTTCAAGTGCACATGGAGCATTTTCCAGAATAGACCAAAGGTTAGGCCATAAAACAAGTCTCAATAAATATAAAGGCTTGGAAGCATACAAACTGTGTTCTTCAATCACAATGGAATAAGATTACACTTCAATAACAAGAGGAAAAGGAAATTTGAGGAATGTGGAAATTAAATAACATTCCCCCCAAATAAAAGGAACTGGGTTC